ATACACAGCACAGGGATTGACTTGCTGGGTAAACCCACAGCAGGGCAAGCACGTGCACCAAAGGGGTCTGAAGCTGTTCAGCCCCACAGAATGCAGTTGTTACCAACGATCAAAGACTTGCCCACACAGACAGTTACAAAAGGGAAACATAAAGAAAATTCTATGCCAAAGGCCTGCTGAACTAATAGATCCTCAATGAAACATTCATGTAAGTATTAGTTGCTTAAAGTGGCCCAAATCTGCCTGAGAAAAAAAGTGTGTAAATAAACCCAAGCAAACATATAAGGATATAATCAAACACTCCATGTACACTTAATTCAAAACTAGGATTAACTCAGCATCTGTTTTAGAACACAGAGCACAAGACTTCTCTTGCTGTTTTTTTCTCCAGTTATGTGATTGTTATTCTAACACAGGTCTAGCCTTCAACAAAAATTGCATTAAGCTGTTGAAGAACAGCTTAATGTTAACAGTTGGTTAACTTCGTGTCCTGATAAAGTTTGTTTTTCAATCTGAAAACCATATCTTCCAATGTCAGTGAGTGTTTTATTACCACGGCATTATAAAGAAATGCAGTTGGTAAGCCCTACACAGAAGATTAATTGCTTTTCCAAATCTCTATAATATTTCTCTCATTTACTTTCTTGCTTTTTATCATGCTTCTCATTTCACAGGCTCTTCATCCTCTTAAAAGAGACAAGGTCTTTGTTCCACTTGTTTGTTATTTGCCATTCTTCACTATTTCTGTCACATCCCTTTGACAGGAGTTGACCAAAACATTACATGACACTTGAGATGGAGCACATTAGAAACTAAAAGCCTTGCAGCCTCATAAATCTGCCTATTGGGGACTTGAAATATGTATTTCTGGGAAGTTCCACTCGTACCATCAAAAACCTCTTAGAGCTAAGAGTACTGAGGCCAGTTCATTAATCTAAATTACAGGAAAATATATCTGAGAACATTTTGCGTTCAGAAAAGAAACATTTCTGAACAATACAATCATGTTTACCGTGGAAGTAAATAAAAACAATTGTTCCCTAGTGGTGACTGAAGTACAACCAATGCCTGACCTGGCTTCCTTTGGGTGGTATTCTGTTCCCATGACCATAAACTTAATGACAGTTTTTATTCCAGAAGTACAGAGAGCTCACACATGCTCATAAAACAGAGAGCTTTCAAAAAAAAAAAATATAAGTATTAAAACTTTTAAAGAGAAGCAGAGGGGCAGAGGTCATCAAAACATACATCATTTCCACCCATACACAAACACATCCAGAGGAAATTATTGATGCACAAATTGTTTTTCACATCTGTACTTCTAAAACAAAATCTAAGCAAAAATTTTGGATGGCAAATTTCAGCATCTGAATACAAAAAGCTCCTCAGAAAGGCAGTGTGAAGTCACAGACATAAACAAGTATGAACAACACTCAATGTAACCAAAACAGAAGGTTCTAATCTCTGTGGAATAACTCACCTTCCTCTTTGCTGCATATTTTAACTGCACGTTATTGCGAATTTTCTCGAGACGATCTTCCCGCTTTTTCCTCCTGATCTGCTCTTCCTACAATAAAGGGAGAGGGAAGTGCATTTAGTCCTCAACCCTTGGTATCACTAAGCTCTGAGTGTAGAGAAAAATTAACACTGAAATTGTTAGTACACAGGCCTGTTCTCCTCGAGCACCTACTGCGTGTTGCTCTGTTCAAAGCAATATTGTTTCCTGTCTCATGCAACCCGCAGGGCAATGCCTCATCCCTCCTCATGGAAACAAACTCCTGTGACAGACAGACCACCACCAAATTTGCCTCACGTGTTTTCCCACTCATCACCCGGGATACAGGAACAGTTTGCCCAGAGGCTGTGGAGTCTCCTTCCCTGAAGGTATTAAAAAGCCGTCTGGGCACAATCCTGCTCCAGGGGCTCTGGAGCCGGGAGGTTGGTCTAGATGACCTCCAGTGGCCCCCTCCAGTCCCAGCCATTCTGTGATACCAGCCTTCCCAATCCCTTCCTCGTTATCTCACCCATCCCCTACAGATGAGCGTTTCCCAACCTTTAGCCTGTCCACCTTGTCCCGCTCCTCCTTCCTCTGCACGAACGCCGTCACCCAGTCCGGTTCCCCGGCCGTGTCGGTGCTTCCCGGGTGTCCCGGCTCGGCCGGGCTCAGCCCCTCCAGGAGCCGCGCCTCCTCCTGCCGCTTCTTCTCCTCCAAGTCCCGGAGCCACGACAGGGCCCCGCAGATGAGGCTCAGGGACTTTCCCTGCCGTGGGAAGCCAACAGGGTGAGGGAGCGCTGCTGTCACAGACCGCCGCCACCCCGCAGCCCTGCCCCGCCGGGCACAGCCCCGGCCCCCGCCCCGCCTCACCGTGCCCGTGGGGCTCTCGAAGATGCCGACCCGGCCGGCCTCCAGCGCGCCGTACAGCGCCTCCATGAACTGCTCCTGGATGCGGTACGGCGTGTAGGGGAATGGGAACCGGCTGCACGCAGGGCTCGCTGCCTCCGCCACCGCCGCCCCGCTCTCCCTCCCGCTCTCCATCCCGTTCTCCCTCCCGCTCTCCATCCCGCCCCGTTCGAACCGGGCGCCGGAGCCCCTCCCGCCCCTTCCCGTGACGCGCCGGAAGGACCGCACAGCCAGCGGGGCCGCCTCTTCCTCCCTCCCGTCCTCCCATCGCGCTGCCCGAGCATCCCTCCTCGCCAAACCCCGCCTGGTGCTCACCCCCACCCCTTCCCACCTTCCATCACAGGCAGAGACAGAAAACTGGACTGTACGCAGGAGAGAATGAAAGGTTTTATTCAGGATGGAAACACGTAGTAACAAAACGTTGCAATACAGGTTTATGTAATACGCAGTCGTCGGCATAGTAATAAATGCAAATATAGTCGTTCCTACCTGTTCGATGCTGAACTTTATATGTTAATACTCTTCAAAGAACGGTGAGCTAAAGAAGAGTAGTGTAACAACGACTACAGAACTGCAGTCAGTCTCCGGACCAGCAGTAAGAACTCATCATGTAACATTTCAGAGTAGGACATCTAGGGGGAAAATCCTGTTTTTTTGGTTAAATAAAAAAAGGCCACATTTTTGTCCATGTTTCATTGATGTCTCAAGTGGAAGGAGTTTCAAATCAGCAAGAAGAAATCTGGGAGAAGCTGTCACAGACTATTAATGGGCTGCTTTTCAACTGGAAACACTTCCACATCCATGTTTTCTGGGTACATACTCACCTATCACGAGGTAGGAACTCACTGTCCCATGTAAGATTTGGAAAAGACAAAATAGACTGAAGTTCAGCTCCAAAGTCTCAGACTCAAAAGATTTGAAAATGCCTTGTCAAACACTGGGTAAACTGACTATATTCATGAAAAATAAGGGAAGGTAATAATAAGAGAGTTCAGTTCCTAAGACTACTACAGTGTCTAACAAGCTAAAGTTTTGAGCCAGAACCAACCTGAAACATTTTATTACGATCTTCACTTCTGTTGTATTTTACAAGCCCAATTCTCCCAGCTGTTATTCTACCACATATTCTCAGTCCCTGATTTACCCTGAAGCTGGTGCTCATTCCTCACATTCCTGGCACTCTTCCTAAACCACCAGCACTCAGCTCTTAGGACTAACTCCCTGTTTCCAGACTTCCTAATAGTTCTTGTGCCACTGGGGTTTAGCACCCAGCCCTAACACCAGAGATACTGTGTCTCCAGTCAGTCTCTTCACACCGTGGTTCTCATTACCCACCTTTTTAAGGTAGCCCCAACACTACTTTCCTGCTCTGAACAGCCATTCCAGGCTTATGGCAGAAGTGAGCGGAAAGTGAGCACTCTTCTACCCACCACACTTTTATAGGGTTTCTTGGCCACATGGATTTTCAAATGCACTTTAAGTGTTGAGCTTTTCCGGAAGCTTTTCCCACACTCGACGCACTCGTAGGGCTTGGTTCCTGCGTGGATCCTCAGGTGGGCACAGCGGGCCGAGCTGTGCCTGAATGTTTTTCCGCACTCCTCGCACTTGTAGGGTCTCTCCCCACGGTGGATCCGCAGGTGGATGTTGAGAGCCGAGCTCCGCCGGAAGCTGTCCCCGCACTCCACGCAGATGAAGGGCCGCTCCTCGGCGTGTGTGCTCTGGTGCTTGGCCAGGGTGGAGTGGTCGCTGCACCTCCGGCCGCACTCGGTGCACTGGTAGGAGTTAGGCAGGAGGCCGCCGTGGTACATGGGCAGGGCCTTTCCACCGTGGATCCGGCGGTGAGTGGTGAGCGCCGAGCTCTGGCTGAAGCCCTTCCCGCACACGGGGCACTTGTAGGGCTTCTCGCCCGTGTGTGTCCGTGTGTGGGTCACCAGCGAGGAGCTCTGCCGGAAGGTTTTCCCACACTCGGTGCACTCGTATGGTTTCTCTCCCGTGTGAATCCTCTGATGCCGAATGATGGCCGAGCTGTCCCGGAAACACTTCCCGCACTCTTGGCATTTGTGGGGCTTCTCTCCGGTGTGGACTCTCCGGTGTATGATCAGGGAGGAACGGTCACTGAAGCTTTTCTCACACCGGAGGCAATTAAAGGGTTTCTCACCCTTGTGGCTGCGCTGGTGGACAATGAGATGCGAGTTCTGGCTGAAGCTCTTCCCGCACTCGTTGCACAGGTAGTGTCTCTCTCCCGTGTGGGTCCGCTGGTGCCTGATCACGTTGGACCTCTGGCTGAAGGTCTTCTTGCACTCGTTGCACTGGTAGGGCTTCTCACCAGTGTGGATCCGCTGATGTTTGATCAGGTCCGAGTTGCGGGTGAAACTCTTCCCACATTCAGAGCAGCTGAAGGGTTTCTCTGCCAGGTGGATCCTCTGGTGTTGGCTCAGATAAGAACTCCGGCTGAAGCTCTTCCCACATTCAGGACACTCATAGGTTTTCTCTTCCACCTGCTGAATCCAAATGGCACCATTCCCACACATGGGTGGGTCGGGCTTGTCCCCAGCAAGGATAACCTTGCTGATGTGACCTCTACCGCTGTCCTCGCACTCCCAGATTTCCATCCCATAGGGAGTTACCATTCCCTGTCTCTTTGCAAAAGAGGTCTCCATCTCACTTTCTGTCTCCAACTCCTGCTTGCAGTCTTGTCTTTGATCGGTGTCCAGCAAGGTATCTCCTGTGAGCTTCCTGGGGGAACACAGATGCGGTTCAGCTCTCACAGGACTTTCCCGATGATGGCTGCTGTTCTGCATGTCACCCACGGTCCTGTCACCTGCTGGAGTGAACAGAGGAATTAGCAGTGAATAACCCCCTGCTTGTCTGAGGGAGAAGCCCAAACAGGGAGGCCACCAAGACCTGCTGCACCATGAGCTGACAGCACAGGAGACAGCCCCTCAGTATCTTCTCAGGGCAGAGGGCACGGCAAACAAGGAGCATAGGAACAGAATGTGACTCAAGAATGGGTGGCCACTATGGCACAGATTGTAAAGGGGGTATTCTGTCATAAAGTTACAGCCCTAAAGGGCAAGACCTGTCACTTGCTTGCCCTCAAAGTTCCCACGTGTAGCAAGGTTAGAAGAACATCACAACTGCTCTCCTCAACATGGAATATGAGGTCATGCAGCAGATTTTGTTTCAAGTGATCTGCAGATTTTGGAAGGCCCTACCACATGGGTTATACCAATTCCCAACGTTTTGTTTACAACACTCAGGGATGAAAAACATTTGTAGTACAAATAAAGGTACTCAAAAGCACCTCAAAGCAGCAAAGTGACCAATAAAATATTAAAAATACTGTCTGTGTGAAAGGAAGAAAAAGCTACACTTTGGTTAGTTATGTCTTTTAACAGTCTGTAGTCTTTGCTGAAAAATACACAGGATTTGATTTCATTTTGGACAGGGTCTAGATACCCCAGGAGTGTATTTTGTCTTTGTCATACCCTGCCTACAAATCCTCCTGAAAGCAGCATCTCTATAGTATGGGAGCAGAAGAGGCAGGGTGACTGTGGAGCGTGCAGCACAGTACACATCAAATTTTCAGAATTCAGATCTTCCCTTCCTGGACATGCTTCATGTAATTTCTCACCTTGTGAGCAATCTCTCTACTGTCTGGGTATTTAGTTGCTTCTGGCCAAAAAGCTGTTTCTCTTCACTCCATCTGAAAGGTTAAAGCCAAGCTGAGGACTGCAGGTCCTGATCAGAGGAAAGAAAACAGACATAATAAATACCCACCATAGCAGCAGTGCTGTAGAATGAGATTTCAGGAAGGTAAGTGTTTAGGAGCTGGAAGCAACCTAGACCATAGGAAAATGACACCCAGAAACATGAGTCAGGGACACTGTCTGTCCTGTCATGCACACTGTGACACCGACATTCGGGTCCAATAACCAGGGCCACCTCATGTAGCACAGACAGGTCAACCACACACACTGAGAGCTGCCTGCCAGCTTGCTGCCTTCTCACAAGTGTCTGGATGTTCCTCCTGCTGCACTTCCAGACCAAAATTGCCTCCTGATGAGTTTTGTGTAAGAAAAATATTGATTCTTCAAACCGTGTTCTCTCCATCATCTTTCTTCCCAGTGAACTAAAGGAGAACATAATGTAATGCAGTTCTGTTCTGCAGGTGGAGGAAAAATGCCACCTTCACAACTAGGCTGCTTTTTGCCTCTGTCTGGAACTCTGTTTATTGCCTTCACTGAAGGAGTACTTTGCTCAGTCACTCTCAGTGGATCAGCCAGGCATGCAAAAGTCTGAGTGAGAGACAAGATTTTGATCTGCTCATACATTTATTGACACGAGCAGTCCAAAGGCAGAATTTTTTGTCCTGTGCTCCAGAAAAATGGCCTCCTTCCAGATGGACTTTAAAGAGCTGGCAGTGAGCAGGAGTATGTGCACAAATACCAATATGTCCACACTCAGCCTGTCAGGGGGCAGGAGGGGGGGGAGGCAGCAGGGACACACAGCTGGGAGGAGGCATGAGCAGCAGAGGATGGAGTGTTGGGAATGCAGGTGTCTATGACATCACCAGTGAAAGAGTGGAGGTGACACCTCTGGGAGCACACTGGGCCCTGACTGTCGGCCCTGCCTGTCACGGGCCCTGCTCGCAGTTCGATATCGGCTATGAGGGTTTACCTGGTTTTGTCTGGTGAGTAGCAAACATCTCTCCTCCAAGCCTGGTTGTGAGAAAGGGCAGCTGAAGTGGCTGCTCTGCACCCCTCCCCATTACTTTCAGCTTGGGCAGTCTGGAGGCAAAAGGAAGGGACAGGAACACCCTCCAACACCTCAGGTGCAAAGATCCCGAGGCTTACAATTTTGCCAGTTTTCACCCACTTGTGCTGGTATCTTATTCTTCAGGAAGGGCCACAGAGTAACCCTGGAGCCAGGGAGGAATCAGAGCTGGATGTGTAGGCACAGACTGGAGCAGAGGTAGAGACTGGAGACAGGGACACCTGGGTGCATTAAATCAGACAAGCACAGAGATCTAGACTTGACCTGCAAGGCCAGGAGGAAAGAGCTGGCCCAGTGAAGCAACAGGGGAGGCAGGAGAAGGAGATCTGAGAGAGGACCTTGGTTAAAGACCTACTTAGCCAGAGGAAGAACATTTGCAGAGGCTAAAAATCTTGAAATGAAACAGTCTCCTTGCTCCAGCCCCAAGAGCATAGCAATATTCCCAGCCAGGACTTCCAAGACATTTCTCCCAGTTCAAGATTTGAATCTCCAGAGCTATGGTGAAGGCCCCTCAGCCAAGTACTGCCCCCAAAATACTACACCCCTCTCAACATGGGTGGGGCAGGTTTTTCCCAGGTCTGGATCCGTCATCTCTAGTCTGTTACTGCATTTCCCACGTGCTGGATCCTGCACCCAGAAAAGGCAACGGAGATCTGGATTCAGCCCTCCAGCTCTTTTGAATGTGGTGTGGTTAGGGTTTCCTTCTCCCTCTGACTCCCTGCACTTTATTTTTTACCAGTGCTCTTGGGTTGGGGCTGCATAGTTGGCCCTCGAGAGACGAAGGCACAGCAGCCAGGAACGCCACTCTCCAACCAGGAGTACCGCCAGTTCTTCAAGTTCCTCCGGATCACTCTCCAAGCCAGCACTGCTTGCCATCTTCGTGAGCTGTATGGCTGCCAGAACTCACTGGTCCAGACACTGGACAAGTACGAAAACCACGGAGTCATCCCTCAAGGTAAAGCCAAGCGTGATTCCCAAGGGCAGTCAGCTGGATGGGGGTCCCGCACAGCCAGCACGGGACCTGATCACTGGGAGAGGACAGACTCGGGAGCTGGTGGGGGAGAGAGATGGGTAGCAATCCTGCAGTGAAGAGAAAGCATGTGCTCATGCACATCCTTTCTCACACCTGATTGCATCCACACATGTCCCTAGGACCAGCCTCCTCTCACACCCTGGGTCATGGAAATGACCAAGAAAACACGGAGTTTCTCACAAGGTTCAGGGGGGCACCCAAATGGCATAGGAGTTTTCATGGAGGGATGTCACTAGACAGTGAGGTTATTGCTAAGGACTGGTAGGATGCCAGCACTGGAGTTTATCACTAGGTCTGTCTCTTCATTTGCCTCTTTCTAGGACCTGTATGCTCCGAAATGCCAGGAAATCCTTTCTTCCCAAACTTCTGCACCTTTTCTTTTTATCGCTGTATTAAGAAAAAGTATTTTCTTAAGGTGAGTTATTTAGCTATTTCCTGAAGACTATGTGTGCTCTGAGCAAGTACCAGGCCAAAGGGAGAGCCCTGAAAATAAGGAAGTGGGAAAACAAGAGGCTAAAAGACAGGGAAGAGAGGAGAGAGCCAGGGGTAGCCCACATTCCAGGCACACTCACACCAAGCTGATTAGCTTCAGATGGCACCTGAAGCCACTTGCCAAAAAGGAGACTTTGCAGGAGTTATCTTCAAGAAAATGAACCTCTGAGGACCACCTCAGCCCTCCTCTCCAGCTCATTCCCAACCAAGTTGAGACAATCTAGGTTCTCCAGGAGAGAGGGGGATTCATGCAGGCTAGAAGAGAAAGAAAGTAAAGACAGCTGTGAGTCCCATGAGAGACTTGTGGGGAGACTCGACAAAGAAAGGATATGAAGGTTTCTTTGCTTTCTTGGGCTCATCTTTGTAGGGAGTGGGAAAGATGGGATTGTGCAGTGAGAGCTAAACTCACAGAACAGGGGAGTGCCTAGGTGCCTTCTCCTGAAGCCTCTACAGAGGTATGTTTTCTCCTCCACAGAGGATTGCATGCCCAGGAGAGAGCAGCGCCAAGCTGCGCAACACAGCAGGCACCAATGACATTACCACGAGCAGTGATGCCATGTCATCCAGAAACTCCGGTTCCCAGCCACTTTACCCCACATCTCCCACAAGTACCCATCCAGCTGACTCCAGCCCTGACACGGAAGTATCTGTGACCCCCACCTTCTTACCTGCTGGCCCACAAACCACAGAGGCGACAGCCGGTGGCCAGCAGCTGCCACACAGTGACATCGAGGATCTCCTCCTCAGGCTGCTAGACAGCCAGGTGCAGAGCTCCCTGCAGACAATGAAGTTGTTGTTGTCTGTTGGGAAGGCAGTGAAGGAAGAAGAGTTGCAGGAGGCTGCTGCAAGGCTGCTGGAGGCCCTGAACAATGCAAATGTGCCTCAATCGCCAAACAACTGACACAGGTCAACAGTGTGGGAAAGATAGGAAAAGCCACCTCTTCCAAGTGCATGGGGAAACAGAGTCATGTGAAATGCTACTGCTCAGGATTCAAAGAAAAAGATGGTATCCTCTTGGAAGTGAATGCACTGAAAAGATGCTGTTCTGTCCTGCAAAAACTGTTTGCTCACTATTGTGATGGTGCTTGTTGTGTCACTCAAGGAATGTCATGAGAGAATGTTGTCTTTTCTTCATTAAATGTAGGTGCTTCTGTTCAAAAGTATTAAGAGAAGAATCTTCTTTGGAAGTATGCATGTGAATATACACATAAAGATACACAAGGCGTGCTCTCCAAATGCAGGAAAGCCTTATCCTGCAAGGGAACTGGTGGTCTAGCATCCTCTTTGTATTGGGGATTGCACATGGTTGACATCTAATTCCGCAGTGATGCTATGAAACACACAGGATAAATATTCATATTAAGAGCCTCTCCTTGCCTCAGAAAATCAGTCTGATTTATGGGGACCTTGGCTGAAGCGTTGTTCCTTTTCTAAACACTGAATATACCTGTAAGTAAAATTGTGTCAAGCCATTTGGATCCAGCACCTGTTGACAAAAGCAGAGTGGGAAATCTCTAGGAACCAGCTCTGCTTCTCTGAATCTCCACTCAGAATGAGTTTGGAGCTACCTCAAACTCAATATAAGCTCCAGTGGTTTGGGCTTTCAGGAGACCATCACAGAAATGAGTAACCCCTTCCTTTTGCAGACCTTCTTTTAATCTATTCCACCGAGGGCCGTGAGGAGAAAGAAGCCAAAGGCATTTCTCCTCGAGGATGCACCACACCAAGCAACATCTCTGTGGAGAGGGTCAGGGATATTGGTTTCCTTTACACAGCCTAAGTGTCACAAACACAGCTGAGTGAAATACAGGCTCTGTCATCCATTGAATGAAGTCCTTAGAAAGGAGATCTCAAAATCACAGGTCCTCCATTTGTTCTGGGAAGCATAATCTTTCCCAAGGCTAAGGCAGGTCACAGATGGGAAATGTGCAAGCCCTGGAACAAGACTGCTGGCTTCCTTTCACAGAGGACTGCTCAGCTTAGAGTCCTTACCTGGTGGGATCCCTAACAGAGCACACGCTACCCTGGCATCGCCCTGGCACACCAGCTCATTCTCTTCTCCCTAGAAAGTGGCCAAAGCTGCCAGATCCCTGCCTGAGGTACCAGGGCTTGTGTCCCCGCCAGCTGCCTGGGCAATGACATCTCCTCCAGCCCCAGTAGCGGGGGCACTTCTGGCAGCATCCTTCCTTGCCATCACCGCCCTCAGGTCCCGGCTGGGGGCGTCAGATTTGGCAACCGCGAGCCGATCGCTACAGATTTTCCACTCGCATGGCTCCGGCCGGGCCCTCCACGAAGCCACGGCCCGGTGCGGCCACCCACGGCCGGGCCACCCTCCCGCGGCTCCCCCGCCGGGGCGGGGCGGGCAGCGGGGGCTGCGGGCCGGGCAGAGCCGCTCGGCGCCCGCCCCCCGCCCCGGCCGGACCCCGCAGCGCATCGACACTGCCCCGGCGCTCCCCAGCCCGTCACCTCGCGGGGCTCCCCCGCCCGGCGCCGCCCCGCTTTTGTTGCCGACTTACCCGCGGACTTACCGGGGCCGGGGCCATGTGCGGGGCGGCGGCAGGGCCGGGGGAGGCGGGGGCGGCGGCGGGGCCGGGCGGGGGCGCTGCGGGACCGCCGGGCGAGGGGCGGCGCTGGGCTCCGTGGCTCGGCGGCGTTAACCCTTGTGAGCGCCGGGCGATGGGAGCTGCCTCGGCGGTGTTAACCCTTGTGAGCGCCGGGCGATGGGGAGCGGGTCCAGCGCTCCCCGAGCTCTGCGCAGCACCGCGCCCGGAGGGAGGTGCCCGCTCGGCGGAGGGGGAGCGGAGACCCGCCCCCGGGGGCTGCGGGGCCCGGCGCGCTCTGCGGGGTCGCTGCCGCCCACCGTGCTCGGCAGTGCTGGGAGGGAGGCGGCTGGGCACGGCTCTGCATCCTGGTGGGTACCGGAGCTCGCTCCCGTGCGGGAGGAGCTCCAGTCACTGCTCGTACCTGCTCACGCACACGGTAGTCAACAACCGGACGCAGCTCTCAAGGAACCACACAGGCTGGGTTTCCAGTGCTCCTTGCTCTCGATTCCCAGCGCTCGCTCTGTTTTACCGAGCCTGCAGGCCCCGGCGGGTAGGGAAGCATCACTGCTGAAGCCTAGAGCTGCTTTTCTGTGGGTGACAGGATGGTGTTTTCTTCCCCGGGAACACTTAGTTCCAGGCTGCCCGCCACTTCCCTCCTACTATTCCTAAAGGTTTTCTGAGTCTGGTCACTACTGCAGCTTCTGCTGTGCAGGTGCAGCATAATATATCCCAGGACCTACACATGTATATCTTATGCCACGGGAAAGGATCCATCCATCCACCACAGGCAAAACTTACCCGTTGCAATACAGCCTGCAAGTGCTGCTGGTGCACAGGTGTTCAGACAGTTACTTTTTCACCAGGGAATGCGGGAATGGCTGTTCCCTTTGATTGAGGTACAGCAGTAAGTAAGGGGCTGAAGTATGTGGCAATCAGTTTCTGGCAATGACTGAAATATTTTCACCGGGCTTTCCAGGAGAATGTTGGGAAAGTGTTGTTCACCAAGACCTCCACACATGCAGCTGAGGAAAAATGTTATCATTTTTCCGGGAGCAACTGACTTCTCAGTTCATCCACTCCTGTAAAAGTCTCTAATCTTGGGAGATAGAAAAGCAGTAGTCACACCAGCAAAGAAGGACAATGGCATGCTACTTAGGTGATTTCAGGAAAATTAACATTATGATTCAGGAACTTGGTAAATACTGGGCCACTTCCTTATTCTAATTGCCCTCAGCACCACAAAATAGGATTCTTGTCTCCACCTTGGTAAGAACCCAACTATCTCCCCTTCCTACTTGTGGATAACAACATTTCCAGAGACAGAGAGAGTGGGGTTATTCCTAAATACAAAGTCTGGACTGAGCAGTTGCAGATTCCAAAGGAATTAGACAGCAATCTAGACTTTGCAGCCTTCCTTTTTCAGAGGGGAGGGCTTTGCACAGACTACACATTCTTTCTCCTGAACAATGCCCCATCTCCCTCCTCCTTTCTTTTGAAGAAGATGCTTGTAGAAGATGTCCCTTGTAGGACAGGCAAGTTAGATTAATACCACTGGTAACAAAAAACAAACTACTTGTGCAAAAATCCCATTATCAGAGGATGCGTCCAAACAGCAAGAGGTAGAGGAGGGAAGGGGAGTGAAGTAATTTCTTACAGGCAGGCAGAGTGAAATCTCCCCTGCCTTTTATTTTAGACAGTGCTGCAAAAACCCAAATGCAGCACAGCTCTGATAACAAACTTGAAGGGACATGAGAAAAATCTGTTTCAACAAAACTTTGTTTCAAAAGCAAATTATGAAAGAGCCAAATTGTCACTTATTACTTGGCCCTAATCAGTATTCCACAGTAAAAGCATCGGTATTATCAGAGTCTGCCATGTGATTTATGAGCCCAAGCCCAGTTATCACCTATGGCCTCTACTGCAATCTTGCACCCTGTCTGCATGTTGTTTTTTGCCTTGTGGGAGCACACCTCAGTGAGTATCTTGTACCTGACTGCCTTGCTTCTGAAGTAGAACTGTCAGCTGAATTTTTCAAAGTTCTACCAGGGTATTAGCTGAATGTCCTTGACTAGTTTAATCACCAGTCAGAAAACCTCCATTTTTAAACAAAATAAAGACCTGATGGTCCTGCCTCTTACTGTTCACCTGTTGCCCAAGTGCACATGTAAACCTAGTTTCATACTAAATCAGTTGCACCATTTTTTTGGCAGCTGTATCTTCAGCAGCCCAGCATATTGTGTCGCTTCCACAGAAACTATGCATATGACATGAACAGCACTGTAGGCATACATGAAAGCAGAAATCGTGAAAATCCAAGTCATCCCACTCACTCACCCCATGAAACCCCATCTCCTTCCCTACAGATGCTGCTGTCTACAAATGAATGTTAAGACCCACCGAACTCATAAGAATTTCATCACCTGTTTGAGCAGAGGATGCTTCCACATCTTTTCAACACAATTTCCAGCAGCAGTCCCAGTGCAGTCACATAACTGCAGCCCCCACCAGAGTGCAGCCCAACAAAGCAGGTTTCATGAAATGTTTAGCAATTTTCTGCTGCTCCATCCCCTGCACAGGTAGCAGCTTGTTGCACCAGGCAGAGATTTTCTTCACTGGGGATTCAAGAGCAGCTACCATTGCACTTTCTCCATGTGCCATTTATGGAATATTAAGCTTTTGTAGAGGGTTAATGACTCCTTCCTCTGCACTGTGAGACACCTGTGGCCAAAAGAAGCAGAGTTCACCATCAGACAGCAAAAAATGGCTTTTCTGAGCTGCACTAGCTCTTATTCCCACTATCTTTATCACAAATCAGGTGTTACAATATTCTCTCTGTAACTGAGTGCAAGGGCTATTAGTTCCAGATAAAAGTGTATCACACATCAACCTTCACTGATTTTCTGTCTGCCTGAAGGTTAATAGCAGCAGCAACTGTATTACACTATGTAGTAATGAGAAAAACACGAAACATTAGACATTTCAATTTAAACAAAAAGGAAACTGGAATCGATGAAGGAGGTTAACAAGCTTTGCTTTGCTGCTTCATGGCGGTACAGAAACGTCCGGGTCAGTCTCATCAGATTGCATTTCACAGTCTAGCAATACAAGTCCTCACCCTCATTTTCTTTTTAATCTCAGTGTTAATAGGGTCACTATTTTCTAGTTTCAGTGGTGGTTGTGATCTTTGGCAGTATCATGGATCTCAAGAGCATATTCCTTCAGTTAAGGACTCAGTCTTTAAAAAAATCTGCTTTGTTAATTTGAGGTGAAAAAGCCCAGCCCACTATGTATTAAAAAAGAATACCTTAAATAACTCTGAAAACTCAAACATTAAGTCAGAATCAGCAATTCCCAATTCAGTGAGTCCAATTTAATTTTATTTTTTTTTTGCCAGTATTCTGAAACAAGTATTTAAATTTTCGAGTCAGTTATTCCAGCTCCCTCTGAAATGAACAGTTTTGTGGCTAAAGTTGGCTACAGCTGGCTGGAGATTTTAATTACTTATTTTCCCATTAGGCAAAGCTTTCAAAGCAAACAAGAGCTGACTTTGTAATTACAGGTATGTTACTTGAGGGATTTTTAGAAAACCGAGAGATATGTGGAAGAAGCAACAAGAAATTGGTTTATTTGCAGGTAACTTTCAAAGACAACAAAGTATCAAAACATTCTGAAATACTGAGTAAAAAGTCTCCAAAGTACCTTACTCCGTTCCCAGAGCAATGCTTTGAGAACTGGGAGAAAGGTTGGGTTATTTTTCTATACTCTTAAATAATCAAGCTTGCTTTTCCTAACTTCCGTTTGTGATCCTGAGGAGTCTTATTACATTCCCAAGTAATAGAAAAGTAAATCTCTGATTTCTCTACGCAACATTCATATTCTGCTGCTCAGTGACCATGGACCCTGATTATACAGGTATCTGCAGCCAGTTCCTCCTGGATGCAGTACCTACATGCATGGCTCTGAAATCGTGGAGGGAGGTGGGAGAAAATGGTGCTGAAAGGCAGCCTGTCTGAATGAAAGCAGTGAACTCAGGGACCCGTGTTTCATATTCACGTGTAACTGCAACCTGCAAAATTATTTTTGTCTTCTTTCATTTTAAGACAAGGGTAAAAGGGTGTGAGGTCAAGTCTCAAACACAAATGTCCACCTCGCCAAGCACGTTGCCTGTTGCAAGCCTTCAGTAAGCTGTTTGTAGGAGGAATATGACACACACTTGTGCATGCTGTAAGTCTTCTAAAGGTATTACAGTAGAGTATTAAGTACAAGAGGGCAGTAGGGAAGACAGAAAAAAAATGCTTTCTTTTGGAGTATTCACTTCTGTGAGGTGCAGCTGTCCTAGAGTAGCTTACAAACAAATGGCAAGCAGGCAGGAATGAGATCCTGGAGCCCCACATGGAGTATCTTCAGCATTGCAGCATAACCACTCCAAAGCTAAAGGAAGAGAAGCCACAAGATGGAAGGGGAAGTCGAACACCTCATTTATCCCCCTATTGTTCCAGTAGAACACAGTGGCCACAGAGTTCATCTCAGCACTCTCCAATAAAGGCACCCTTTGAGTGTATTTCCCTGGAGTACAGTCTGGTACAAGTAGATATAGTTTCTTTTCTTTGTAGAGGTTCTCCAAAGTGAAATAAGATGCTGAATTCTCAGCAGGTTCAATACACACTCAGTATTAAGTTTTCTGACAATGAGAATACCCATCAAATTCCTGCTGCCCCCCCCCTCCAGAAACACTCATTCTTTTTTTCTTGAACACCACCTCTGCATGAGGTGATTCACTAGAACACAAAAACAGTTGCTATAAACAAAGTCACCATTTAGTCACAGCCAAAGATGAAAAAACAAATTCAGGCTAAATTTAAATGTATTCCAAGTATTGCAGTGAGCAGATTGTTTACTAAGGCTTTTGTTCACTGACACTTTGCCACAGAATCCAAAATATTGGTCCTTTTATTTTACCAGGATGAAATACTGTGCTGCACACAACCCAACCAAAATCTTACCTGCTCCTTTCAGAACTTGCCAACTCACCATGTTTGATTGTTTCAGCACCTCCCCAGCAGTGACTTGTCCTTGTGGGAGAGCTACATCAGTCCTTGAGCTTCATGGGCAGAGAGGTGGGAGCCCTGGAAGTGGGAACAGCCAGGGAAGAGGAGCCAGAGGTGGTGAAGCAGGTGATGGCCATGGCAGAGGGGTGTAGCTGGGGGTGACTGAAGGATTTGCAAGACAACTACCCCCTCTTTTGGGCAGGAGAGACCAATGTGTCTTTCCCTACAACAGGCAGTGGGGAGCACCAGAGGGTACCCAGTCAGCCTAAACCAGTGACTCTCAAAGGTTTGGGACATTTGCTTGTGACTCCATGTGAGCTCACAAGAGTGGTGAAACTCCAGCTGGAGATATGGGGTTTATAGTCAGTCACACTTCCACTGGGACAGACACCTGGGAGTTGTTGTCCTCCACCTGGTAGGGCAGGAGCTCTGGTGAGACAGTGCTTGTGCCAGCTGCAGAGCACCCTGCTTTAGAAGCATCCGTGACTGTAACACAAATGGAAAGTTACAGGTTGGGAACACTTGCAAAGTTACTTTTAGCTGTCCTTTAAACCTTTGGATCACAGTTTAAACTCCCCACCTCCCTCCAAAAAAACCCCAAACCCACCAAACAAAAATAACAAACAAAAAACCCACCAAACCAAAACAAACCAACCAACCAAAACCAAACAAAAACAAACCAAACAAAAAAAACAAACAAAAAACCCACCAAACCAAAACAAACCAACCAACCAAAACCAAACAAAAACCAACCAAACAAAAAAACCCACCCAGAACAAAAGCACCTAGCCATACAAGAGTTCAAAATGCCATTTCAGTAGTCTTGGCACCTTGGCAGGCAAACCTTAATTAGGGTATATGGTAGGGAAAGTTAATAATTTGTATAATACAGTAGCCAGGTATAGGTACAAAAATGGGTCTCTCTGCTCCAGTTTGTCTCCAGTCTGATCCTCTCAGGCCAGTTCTCATTGATCTTCTTGATAATACCATATATTACAAATCCTTATTTTTCCCCTGATACGGTTCTTATATAAAAAAAAACAAACCAGCACTAACTGCTCTAAAAGCACGCAAAATGTCTTTCAGGAGCTCTTACTGATCTCTGCTTGACTTCAGTAAAATCTTTTCAGATGCTATTTCCCTAGGTTTCATCTCCATATTCTCCTTGTCTTCCCAAAGCCTGTCCTTCAGGCATTTGTATTCTGAAGGAGAAAGAAGCAATCTCCTTGTCAGACAGAGACCACGGAGTCTTGTTTGTGTATGCAGGCTGCATCTTCCTTGCACTTTAGTATCCTTGTTCCCCATGAAAGAGTATGACTCTTGCATATTTTCAATGGTATTTATAAGCACTTAGATTAGTTCTGTATTAGTAAGTCTGGTTCCCAATTACCTCTTAAAATAAAGGGAGACTGACTGTGTTTTAAATGCAGTCTCTCGAGCTCAGCAGAAGAATCTCTTTAAGATCTGGTAGCTTTTAAAAAAAAAAATCTAAATCATCCTAATTCCATTTTTCAGTAGACCTTTCAATACAGGATATCTGGGAGCAGATGTTACACTGTGGAATTTCTCTGGCAGCCCTTGAAAATGGCTGAATATTCTGTTCTTTGAAGCACAGCTCATTACTCAGCCCCCTTCTGTGGTTCTGTGCCTGGCAAATGCAGATATGAAGGGCGTTACGAGACGCTCTAGTGCTGGATTCCCTATAGCAAAACCACAGGGAAATGCAAACAATGAGCCAACACTGCCATGTAGTCTCTGGCAAAAAAGCGAAGTATAAATATATCTGCACTTGAAACCATGGCTGTAGTGTCTCCTGATCTATCAGCGTGAGTTCTATTGTTTTCTAAGTTGGTGTTTTGAAGAAATAGCTCGTTTTCAACAATTTCCTTTATCTCTGAGTTTTTATGAGGCTGCTACATGTACATAGCTTATGCTTACCATTTACATTTTTCTATACCCGTATGAGCCTGCTGAATTCTCCAAAGAATATCAGATTTCAATGCACTTTGCACTGCTCTTCCGTTACCTCTAACCACCAGGCCATTCTTTAAAGCAACCTCCAGTTTGAATTGGTAATGTGAGCTTGCTGTGTAATTCCCTGACTCCTTTACAGTGACAGCCCTAATGCCTTTTTATAATCTCTCATCTTTTACTGTGCCTCTGCAAATTTATTCCACATTTCTGAGAGCAACCTATTCCCTCTTCTCATATTTATGTGCATTGTATTTCTGGGTTCCTTTATCTTACATAAGTCATGTTTTCAAACCTAATATCGGCTCTTTCTTTCCAGCAGCTATAATAAACTAAATATACAACAAAGAGTGTAAAACCAGAGAAAGTATATATCTGTGCCCAGCTTGCTTAGACCTGCTCTCATTGTTCCTCTGAAAGATGCAATGTCTTCTTCTTTACAGTCCTTTTACTCTCTTTGACCCCAATACTGGCAGGAAATTAAGGCCCTTCAAAACTCCTTCCTCTGCCCCTCTATACGCATATATGTTTGGTAAAAACATAATTCTCCCTTTTCTGAAGGCTGGGATTCTTGTGTAAAATCACAGACTTTTAGACACAGAGGACTGAAGGGAAAGGTAAGGTCTCAAAAGAAAAAAAAGAGTCCCAAAAGACAGAAGCACTGCTTCTCCATCCCACTCCACCGGCTGCTTGTAGTGCCATCATTTCCTTCAGTCTGATCCCCCTGCAGCACGTTACTTTATATAGGGAAAGCTGGTCTCCTCAGAGACTTACCATAACTCCATGGACAGAAGAAGACCAATATAGGCACACACAGGACAGGGGAGGTGCAGGGGCTGGATCCAGACACAAGCCAGATTGCTGATTTTGGAGACAAACAGCAGTTATGAATATAGGTTTATAATCCCACATTAAGATTGTGACACTCATGCTTAATTATTACAATGCAGTGAGACATATGGCAGGTGCCTGTGGCTCATTTCTATAAAGCAGCAGCAGGAATGCCATGGAGGTCACCAGTGTCTGAGAAAGGTTCAGTCCTTGACTTGTGCTGATGGAGAATTCACTTTCCTGAAGACAGAAGTTACAGACGCTCACGTGGACCACTTACAACATCTAAGGCACTACACTGCAGTGTTATGGGAAGGTCTGTTGAAGAGGCATGTAAAAAACCTTGACTTTTGGACCATTTCTGGTTCCTGCCCCTTAGGTGACTGTCTAACCAGACAGGGTCCAAGCTAACACTGAGCCATACCCACCCCTTGGGTAGAGAGGCAGTATCACAAGCACGAGTTTGCATAAACCTTTATCTCAAAGAAACAGTAATTCTCATTTCTCAATGCAATAGTTGACATTAATATAATTATTTGAAACATAGGTATTATTACAGCTGGGTGCAAGATTAAGCTTAATGTCCTAGCTGTTACAAGGACTATCCTAAAAGCACTTCACGTCAAGAATTTTGTAAATGATATTTAAGATTGCACATGATATTCTAAATCTGAACTTATACCAACTTGAATGGTTGAACTAACACTTAGGCTCTTACTCTTAAAATATTTAATTGTGCCATATATAGCTTGGTGAGACATTAATTATTTCACTCACTTGGAACTAATCCATAAGTCTAAGGAGTTCACAGGTATACTGAGTAATAGAACCTCTATAAATTCCCAAGGACAGAGTGGAATGTATAATTTTATTTTCTCATTAACATGTTAGATATGCCTTACATACAGCATCAAGTCTGGGCTGAAGAGAGAACTGGAAGTAAAAATGCCCTGAGCACATCTCTAGGTGTGCAAAGTTCACTGTATGGTTGTAAAAATGTAGTTGAAATTTGTACAGTAACGATGTCTGTGATACAGCCATTCATTGGGAATCTCTCTACGGTCTCCAAACTGGTGTATTCAGTAAGTCCCATCTGTGTAATTAAAACCACTGCCACAGTTTCATGTTCCAGATATTGCGAATGTGCAGCCAGATTGTCCTTTTCTATGCCAGCATCAGGTTTGAAATCCATCTTTTTTTCCTTCAGTTTGGTGTCTGTGACTTAATTTGACCCACAGGTTCTGCTTGTAGTCCACTCCCAGAGTATGTCCCCAGTGCTGAGTTTCTAGGGTAAACTTTGGTATAAATCCCCCTGATAGTTACCAATCCTGATTCAAAGTTTTTTCCAAGGTCTAGGGCACACATCTCTAGTTTTTCACAGCAGTTTCTAATCTTGAAACACTCTTCAGTCGGAGTGACACACTGATTGGAGAAAAAAAATATCATTGCAGGAGTACCGTGTTCGATTCTTATTTGTATATACCACAACATTCTCATTTTCTTTTCATGGTTATTCAATGGCCTATCTTCAGTGGTTTACTGCCTGCTGGGTAATAGCTGCTTTCTAATCAATTTTAGATTATTTTTCTCCATATTTACTCCTGTCTTCTTTTACAGCCCTTTTAAACCAAAATCAATTTCACTTTTGCCTCAAATAGCCCTCCTGGCTCTGCAAGCGTAGATTCTTGAACTTCGTTCCTGGAATCTAAATTAGAGCGTTCACCGTATTAATCCTGGTCCTAAACGGAGAAGCACACACACGTTCAGCTTTTCTGAGATCCTGGCCAAGGCACACTGAAACCATCCACAATTTAGATCATGACTGCTGTGTCTGAACAGGGATCCCAAACAACTCTGGAGCACAGCTTTATGTTACAAGCACCCTAAGTCTGGGTTCACACCCAAGATGACAAACCCATCCCCAGGTGCTGTTCCAGTGCTAACAGCAGCTCTGTACCCAGTTAGCATGTGCAGTGCCATGCAAAGCACTGCTGTATGGCAATATCTTACGATGTTAAAATCACACTTATACTTACCCTGCCTTTGCATCACGCTGAACAAGAGCTACATCCAGCTTTCCAGCACTTAGTCTGTGGAAAGAAAGCAGTGGAAGAACAACGTCCTTCACAGGCTCATAGAATGGTTTGAGTTGGAAGGGACCTTAAAGATCAACTAGTTCTAAACCCCTGCTATGGGCAGGGATGCCACTCACTGGATCAGGTTGCTCAGGGCCCGCCCATCCTGGCCTTGAACATGGAGCATCCACAACCTCTCTGGGCAATTTCCTGCTGTGCATCTGTAATCAAGCTCCCGATTGACCGTGACATCCCACCACTTTGCTGACTATCCTCTGTGCTCTGCTACAACTACACGGCACACTGGATCTCTCCAGGGATACGGGTGTCTTTGCCCTGTGACTGCAGGTGGCAGGACCCATCCTACTGCCCTTGCATCCCCAAAGTGATATGGATCACATGGAGCACATCAAAAAACAGTGAGTCTCAGGAGGGAGGAGAGGACACAAGGCCTGTTGGAGAATAGAGCAAGAGAAGGGGTGAATGCATACCTGGTGAGTGCTGCTGAATAGAAGAGGAATTTACTTGGAAGGGATGGGGCAATCCCAAAGCTGCCATGCTGTGTTGCCTGGTGCCCTGTGGTGACGTCACGGAGCTGTATGGTCTCCCAGGAAATGTTTTCTACAAAGACATCAAGTCCAACACCTCTCACAGCAGCACCCAACATGAAGATGAGCCACAGGAGAGACGAGCAAAACAAAACACAGGCCACGGGAGGAGGTCAGCATGAGGGCATGTGCATGCCCACAGTGCTGCAGCAGTGAGGGAGTCTGAGGAACTGGAACTGAGGTCTTCTCCTTGAGCAAAGGAGAAGGTCTGTGACAGCTCACAGACCATGGTCATGGGGAAAAGCAGGCCAAGAGACTATAGCAAGGAAATATACCCAGCAGAAGAGCATATGTGGTACCTTCACAGGAGCCCTGCAGTTCAGCATCATTATCCTTTCTTCTCTCCTGTGTCCTCTCTCTCCTCCCAGTGAGGAGAAGGGACCATAACAAACCCTTTTGCAGCACTTATCTCTTACACGCACAACCACTGCAGCATTGCAAAGAGGCTTCTCTGTTATTCACTGACAGGATCCATTCCTCCTCCTGGAGGCACCATGAGAGAAGGGGTTGTGGGTGCCCAGTGCTCCCACAAAGTGGGAAAATTTCTGTGCCAACAAAAAAACTCTAATATATTTCTAAAAAATGAATAGAAACATTATTAACGACTAAGTAATACCCAAGGTAGCACTACCCAAACATAATCTGTCTCAGCTCTTTACCTCTTGTATTTATGGCTCTCTCAGTACAAGGCAGTAGATACACACTAATCCAGTCTCTAATTTACTTAGGGGCTCTCAGTGGTGTGGCATAGTGAAGTATGACATTTGAGTGAGTTGCATTCCCATATAAAAGCAGTTTCTTTTTGGAGGGTGCAAGTCTTTAGATGAAGTGGGAGAAAAACCTAAAAACCTGGGTTGTAGATCCTAACGATTAGGAGCTCCTGGATGCCTCAGTGCTGAAGTTAGTTCCAAATGAAAGTCACTTTCTTCTCTGCAGTAGGGAAGTTAAAAGAAATAACCAGCAGGTGAGCAAAAACAACACTGTTTTAATGAAAAATGGAAGAGTCTAGACACCAAAGCCAATGCAGGGGAAAAAAAGGCAGATTTCACATAAATGATGGAGAGAGAGAGAGAGGGAAGAAAGTCAAATCTTCAGAGGTCTGAAAAAAGTAGTAGCAGAAATATTCTTTATGTGTATGCGGGTAAATCCTGTTCTTTTCCTCCATCAGCAATTTATTGTAATAAATTAAGGGAAGTGGCTGATAACATTTAAAAGTGCAGATACTTGATACCCCCAGTTCTTTTTCCTGGCTAGGCATAAAGCTGTCTGCATCTGGAGACAATGAAGGGATGAACTAGTTTAAAGGTGAGGAAAGATTTAGTGCCGACTTTCCACCTAAGCGCCTGTGACCGTGAGGAAAGATAGTCGGGTCTTCACAGGTGTCCTCCCCCGCTCCTTTCCTCACCTCTCAGGGGCAATGTGCTTTGTCCTAAGGTAAGGACACCGGGTGGGTTTGGCTGGAGGAACCGTCTGGATGCTTGCATAATTAACGCATTCCAGAGGAGGGAGAGCAGAGATGTTTCTGGGATCGGCTTTAGTGCACATCTACCTGCATAAGGTTGTAAAACGCTGCTGGAGACGGGGCAAATTCACCTCCCAAGGTTACAGGCAGCTTCTGGGTGCAGTGCACTAGTATGGGCGGGGGAAGATGCTACAAAAATAGTATGGGGGGGTGTGAATCCCTGAAACTTACCCTGAGAGCAACAAAGCTTAAGAAAAACCCCGTCATCCATTCAAACCAGGGGCAAGGTGCGAGCCCCCAGCTGGCTCAGCCGATGTCTCCCTGGGATGGTGGCGTTTCCCCACATGTCCTCTCACACGTCCTCTCAACCTCTTTTTGCTTCTTCTGTCTTTATGTGATCTCCTTCAGTCATGGGTAGACATTCCAGATCGCATTCCACTCGCCACGGGTAGACATTCCAGATCGCATTCCACTTAGTTTAGGTACACCCCTTAACATTACTAAATCAGGATCATCTCATTTTACTACTTAAGTTTTATAGATTTTTTTCATTTTTGTAATGAAAGCTTAAAAATAATCTGTGAGAAGAGTGCTTTGCAGAAAAGCATAAGAAAAACTATTTTCTTAAAAATATGATGCAGTAATAAATTGGAGTGTATAAAACTGGAGAGATCATCTCTCTAAGGAGCTGTTCTATGCTTGTTTAGATAATATCTTTTGAGGCAGCCAGCAGTTTTTCATTAAAAAAGAAGTATGATGTGGGGAGATAAGCCCAGGTTAATGGTGCTTAGGTGAGTGCCTGTTTGTTTAAGCATCTTCTCATGTTATGGTTCTTTGGAGAGGGGTCATATTGAAGAGCAGCTGTTTGAGTGTAGTGCCCAGTGTGAGGATAAATAAAAAAAATAAAATTAAATTAAAAAAAACAAAGGCAATTACAGAGAGGGAAATTGTGGAGATGCAGGAGGAAAAAGTCCCCAGGAGAGTATTTTACGTAGGAAAACAATAAAAAAATGGAGGCAGAAAATGGGTAGAAGAGGAGAAAAGGAAGATCTGCTTCCCAGGATAAGAAGGCTGGTACCCAGCATCTTTATGAGGCCACTTCATCACCATTAAATGTCTTAGAGATTGGAGAGGTTCCTGGTGACTGGAAAGACTATCACAGTCCTCACCAATACGAGAAGGAAGAATGATCCAGGGACAGACAGATCAGTCAGCCAACCTCTGTCCCTGGGAAGGTTGCAAAGGAAATCCCAGCAAATGAACAACAAAGTGATTAGAAACAGCCAGCATGGACTTACCACAGCCTGGCCATGTCTGTGACTGCTGATGACAATGCAGTGATTGGCTTCTTTGGATGCAGAGTGTGGTTGATGCTGTTTCCTTGTCTGTAGTAAAGCTTTAAACATGGTCCTCTATAGCAGCCTTACAGCAAAAAGCTGGTGAAATGTATCCTGCCTTGATAATCACACCTGTCCACGTTAACATCTCCCTACCAGAGTCCATCCAGCTGGCACTCTTATTTTGTACTTCAAAGGTAACAACCCTCAGAAGGTCTTGGGTCTTGCTTTCTTGGGTGGACCTAGGTTTCTGTTCCTCTGCCTGGCAGATTTTTGGCCTCTGAATTGCTGAGAGCCGAGTGTTGACCCTCATGGTCCCAAGTGTGTTGTATGCAGCTGAGTGCTATTCTTGCTCAGATGAGAAGAGTTCTGGATAACTAGAGAGTAAAATGCTATTGTGAAATACTGGGCCTCCACACGTGGTTAATAAATCATGTTTTATAGGGTGATTTTTCTGTGTATCTGAAAAGCACCATATATTTATAACAGCAACGGTTCTGAGAAAGGTTAAACGTGTCACTGCTAAAGAAAATGCATTGCAAAGCTGATATTGCTGGAAGGACAAGTGCTTTTTTTGCAAGAAACCATAAGGTCTTGAAAAAGGACAGACAGGAGCAGGGCTGTCACAATTCTGTCCCTAGATGGCACCAATAAATTTGAAGAGGAATGGAAATACTGTTTCAGATACGGATGTACAATGGTGGGCTGGGTTAGCCAGTTCTCAGACCATCACAGCAGCAGTAGCAGCTCTGTCTAACTCTTCCTAAGCTTCCCTAAGCTGAGCTTGTCATACAAATGCAAAGATGGAAGACTGAGATGCCACTACTTAGGCAGGCCCCTTTTTTGCAAGTCTCAGAATTATGGTGCCAATAGAAGAATTATAAACAAGCCCTCAAACAAAATGCTCAAACACCTCATTCACCCCTTTGCTACTAATAACTAAGTCAAAGCTAATACTGTAAAGCAATTTAACAGCACTTGAAAATGCAGTATACAGAGGTATTTTACAACCCACAATACTTCTTGCTACATGGGTGTGTTAGCAGTGTTTACCTACCAGAGTTAACTGCAGCTCTCACAGAAGAATATGCAGCAGTCTTGAAGGTCCAGCTGCCTCATACTCCCAGAAGGCTTGGGAAACTGTTTATGGGAAGTTGGGTGTTCTGGTTGGTTTGGGGTTTTTTTTAAGAAAAAGAGGTTATCTGTCTTTTTAAGAAAAGGGAACATCTGAAAGCGTATAAATCCAAAGGAACTATTGAGTAAGTTTATGGACAACTGTTCACACACCACACCCCCACCAATAAACAATGCTGGAAAACTGGTAACAATGGATGAGGAGAAGGCTGAGGTACTCAAGAGGTACTCAACAACTTTTTTGCCTGTCTTCAGGCAAACCTCTTGAGTGGATGGACAGCAGGATGGGG